GAGAGAGGGTGAGAGGGAGAGAGGGTGAGAGGGAGAGAGGGAGAGATGGAGAGAGAGGGAGAGATGGAGAGAGAGAGAGAGGGAGAGGGGGAGGGAGAGGGAGAGGGGGAGGGGGAGGGAGAGGGAGAGGGAGAGGGTGAGAGAGAGAGAGAGAGAGAGAGAGAGAGAGAGAGAGAGAGAGAGAGAGAGAGAGAGAGAGAGAGAGAGAGAGAGAGAGAGTGTGTGTGTGTGTGTGTGTGCGTGCGTGCGTGCGTGCGTGTGTGCGTGCGTGTGCGCGTAGATACGAATGTATGCGTGTATCCATTTTATATAATCCTATCAAGTGAAGATATAGCCAGTATTTAAAGCCGAATATATCTGTATGCATGTAATACGTCCGCGTGATTCTTCCATTAGATAACCAAGCCTTATTGTTGCGGCTGCTGTAGAATTCGTATCAGCGATGGCGCAACTTGGACGAAATTCCACCCTTACGTGATCTTGCTGTCGACCATAACTGCTCTCCGCACTCGGCCGGAATTTTGGATTGTGGTCGATTTTTTTTTTTTTTTATGTGTGGGTTTCGGTTGTTTGTTTGTTTGTTTGGGTCTCTGTCTTTTTGTCTGTCTGTCTGTCTTTCTGTCTCTGTCTGTCTGTCTCTGTCTCTCTGTCTGTCTCTCTCTGTCTCTCTCTCTCTCTCTCTCTCTCTCTCTCTCTCTCTCTCTCTCTCTCTCTCTCTCTCTCTCTCTCTCTCTCTCTCTCTCTCTCTCTCTCAGAAAAAAAAAGAAAATGAAGAAGAAGAAGAAAAGAAAAAGGATGAAAATGAGAGACAGAAAAAAGAAAAGGATAAAAAAAAGGAAAGGAAAGAAAAAATAATAAAAAAGGCAGAAAGAAAATGAAGGAGGAAGAAGAAGAAGAAGAAGAAGAAGAAGAAGAAGAAGAAGAAGAAGAAAATGAAGAAGAAAGAAGAAGAAAATGGAGAAGTAAGAAGGATAAGAACAAGAAAAGAAGAAGAAAAAGAAGAAGAAGAAGAGGAAGAGGAAGAAGAAGAAGAAGAAGAAGAAGAAGAAGAGGAAGATAGAAAAAAACGAGTGGCCGGGCGGGTTCTTTGGGCCGAACGCGAGGAGGAGGAGGAACCGGCGGGCGACCTGTTCCGCGGATGGACTTCGGGCCGATTTTTTTGTTTTTTTTGTCTTTGTTTTTGTTTTTCTTGCGTCGTTCGTCCCTGCGTGTTCTGTGAAGGAAGTGAGGGAGAGGGAGAGGGGAAGAGGAAGAGGGGGGGACAGGGAGAGGGAGAAGGAGAGGGGGAAAGGAGAGGGGAGGGGATGGGGAGGGGGAGGGAGGGAGGGAGGGAAGGGGAGGGAGAGGGAGAGTGTTGAGTGTTGCTTGCAGTCTTTACTTTTGTTATCATCCCTTATCTATTCCTTATCTATGTATTGCCATCATCAATAAACAGAAAACCTTTCCTAAAACCTCTCTCTCTCTCCCCCTCCCTCTCCATCTCCGTCTCTCCCTCCCTCCCTCCCTCCCTCCATCTCTCCTTCCCTTCTTCCCTCCTCCTCTCCTTCCCTTCCCCCCGTCTATCTCCCTATTTTCCTCTTTTTTTTCCTTTATTTTACACCTTCCTCTCGGTGTTTTTGTTACCTGACTTGTCTTCTGTTTCTTGTGTTTTCGTTCATTTTTTGTCTCTTTTTTTTCTTTCTCTTTTTTTGCCTCTTCCCTTTTTTATTTTCTTTTTTATCTTCTTATTTTTTTTCTTTAATTTTTTTTTCTGGATCTCTCTCTCTCTCTCTCTCTCTCTCTCTCTCTCTCCTCTTCTCTTCCTCCCTCTCTCTCTCTCTCTCTCTCTCTCTCTCTCTCTCTCTCTCTCTCTCCCTCTCTCCTCTCTCCTCCCTCTCCCTCCCTCTCCCTCCCTCCCTCTTTCCCTTCCTCCTTCCCTCTCCTCCTCCCTCCCTCCCTCCCTCTCCTCCATCTCTTTCCTTCCTTCCTCCTCTTCCTCCCTACCTCCTTCTCTTTCTCTCTCCCTCCCTCCCTCCTTCCTTCCTTCCTTCCTTCCTTCTCTTTCTCTCTCCGTCCCTTCCTCCCTCCCTCCTCCTCCTCCTCCTCCTCCTCCTCCTCCTCCTCCTCCTCCTCCTCCTCCTCCTCCTCCTCCTCCTCCTCCTCCTCCTCCTCCCCCTCCCCTCCTCCTCTCCTTCCCCCTCCCCGTCTACCTCATTTTTTCCCTATTTTCCTCTTTTTTTTTCCTTTTTTACACCTTCCTCTCGATCTTGTTGTTACCTGACTCGTCTTCTGTTTCTTGTGTTTTTGTTCATTTTTTGTCTCTTTTTTTTAATGTGTCTTTTTTGCCTCTTCCCTTTTTTATCTTATTTTTTATCTTATTTTTTTCTTTTGATTTTTTTCTAGATTTTTTTTTCTTTCGCTTCAAGTCAGGTTTATTTTTTCTACTTTTTTTGTCTTATATATTTTTTTGTATATTGGTGTTTTCCCCCTTTTTTTTATTTACATTTCTTTTTCTTTTTTTTTGCTGCTGTATCCTATTTAGTAATTTTTATCTTATTTCCTTCCTTTATCTGTCTATCTTATCTATCTCTATCCCTCTGTCTGTCTCTCTCCCATCTGCGTGGCTCTCTATCCATCTGTCTTTCTTTATCTATCTTGTTAATTATAGCATGTCAGATCCCCATTAATATCTTTAGTTAATGTCATCACCAAAGTCAACATCATCATTATCATCGTCTTCCTTCTCACCACCACCACCTTCGCCATCATTTTCACTTTCATCACCATCATCACCATAACCACCATCTTCACCATCACCTTCACCACCATCATCGTCATCATCACCATCACCACTACCGCCACCACCACCACCACCACTTCTCCCCTCCCCCTCCCCCTTCCCTCTCCCCCCTCCCCCACCATTACCTTCTCCCTCTCCTTCTCCCCCTCCCCCCACCACCACCACCACTTCTCCCCTCCCCCCCCTTCCCTCTCCCCCTTCTCCCACCATTACCTTCTCCCTCTCCTTCTCCCCCCCTACCACCACCACCACTTCTCCCCTCCCCCTCCCCCCCTCCCCCTTCCCTCTCCCCCCTTCCCCACCATTACCTTCTCCCTCCCCCTCCCCCTCCCCCCTCCCCCTTCCTCCCTCCCCCACCATTATCGTTCCTCGTATCTCGTCCTTATACCGTATGCATTCTTGTGCCCAATTACTGTCCTGTGGCTCGACTGACCCGAATGCATACGCGGCCCAAGAGTCTTTATACTTTATAGCATTATGTGCAGGTGAATGCGATGGTGTATATCGTGAGATTTATTGTTATCGTTGGTGTATATCTCGGGTATGGTGTATTTTATTTCAGGAGAAATAGGCGCGATATAGAAGTAGTGGGAAGTGTATTTATAGCTGTGTTAAGAGTATAGTCCCATAATAGTGAAATACAGTATATTAGGTTATAACATAAATATATATTGTGGTGTAGCTTAGTATGTCAGTATCAGCATTTTAGAACAAGTATAAGATATACAGGCATATCAGTAGTATAGCTTAGTATAGCATACCATTAAACGTATTAGTGATGTAACGTAGCATATTAAGAAGGAAATTAATAGTATGCCAGCTAACATATCAATGATATAAACATAGTATAACGGGACAATACTAGTATAACAAAAATACCAGGAAGCATAGCAGTAGTATATCATAGCATGCCGGCCAATATATCGACTCCAATGTACTATAGGCCTACCAGTAAACATGTCAATAGTAGAACACGATATATTTATAGGCGTCATTATAGTACAAAGTATAATTACCTCCATAACAATATTATAATATAGACCAATGTTTTAGCATACAGGGAGGCATAGCAGTAGCATAACATAGCATACCAGCGAGCATAGCAATAGCATAACAGAGCATGCGATAGCAGTATCATAACGCAGCATAGCATTGCATCAACCCAACACAGCATACCAGCAAGCATAGCCATAGCAAAATACAGCATACCAGCGAGCATTGCAGTAGCATAACACAGCATAGCATAGCGACAGCATAACACAGCATACCAGCGAGCACAGCCATAGCATAACACAGCACAGCACGGCAACAGAACAGGTGTTTTTTTCCAGGCCTTCGAGATGCTGGGCTTTGTGTGGGAAAATGCAGCCGCCCGGAAGTGAGTTGCGCTGTGACCTTGGCTGTTCGTGCTGTGTTTATTTTCTTTGTTGCTTGTTATTGTTATTGTTTTGTTACCCTTTTTTTGGTGTTTAGTTATTTGAGTGTCTGTTTGTTTATCTTTCTTTCTTTTTTTCCTTCTTTTTTTATTTTTTATTTTTTCTCTCTTTCTTTATATTTCTGTTTTTATTTATTTTTTCTTTCTCTTTTTCTTTTTCTGTATCTTTTTTCTCTTTCATTTTCTTTTTTTTTCTTGTTCTTGTTCTTGGTCTCTCTCTGCCTGTCTGTCTTTCTCTCTCTCTCTCTCTCTCTCTCTCTCTCTCTCTCTCTCTCTCTCTCTCTCTCTCTCTCTCTCTCTCCTCTCTCTCTCTCTCTCTCTCGATATTTATCTATCTATCTAATACACACACCTTCCCTCCCCCCCCCCCCCCCGCCCCCGCAAAAAAAAATGCATCCCTCTCATTCCCCGAATGCCACATCGCCTCGTGCCCCGGGGGTGTGGTTGGCACTGTGCCCCGATACCCCCCCCCCCTCTTATTTTGTGCCCTCAATGTCCCCCAGTGCCCCCCCGCCTCCCCCCCCCCCTTGTTTACTTCCCCCTAGTGCCCCCCCCCTCCCCTTGTTTAGTACCCCTCAGTGCCCCCCCCCTCCCCCCCTCTTGTTTAGTACCCCCCAGTGCCTCCCTCTCCCCCCCCTTGTTTAGTACCCCTCAGTACCCTCCCCTCCCCCCATCTCCCCCCTTGTTTAGTACCCCTGTGCCCCCCTCCCCCCTCCCCCATTGTTTAATCCCCTTCAGTGCCCCCCCTCCCCCCCTTGTTTACATTACGCTTCTACGTCTGCGGGTATGGCTCGAGTCTCGGGGTCACGCTGGTACATCG